CCTGCACAGGAGAACGGAGCTGGAAAGCAGGTCAGTGGGATGGGGAGCAGAGGTGGTTATTCAGCAAGTTCTGACCAATTCCGGAGAACCAGTAGTGGAAATTTTGAATAATTCGGAGAACCGGCCAATGCCACCTCTGACTGGCCCCGCCAACCCCATCTCTTCTCCGCCTCCCATTGAGTCCCAGCTGATTGGCTGGGTCTTCTTTGGTTGCCCTGCCCAGGAGAACGGAGCTGGAAAGCAGGTTAGTGGGGTGGGGAGGGAAGGGGGATTTTGGAGTAACCTTCCCCTGCCACGCCCACCAAGCCAAGCCACGCCCACAGAATGCCACACCTATCAAGCCACACCCACGGCTGATCAGCTGGGTCTTTTTGGGTTGCCCTGCCCAGGAGAACGGAGCTGGAAAGCAGGTTAGTGGGGTGGGGAGGGAAGGGGGATTTTGCAGTATATCCTTCTCCTGCCACGCCCACCAAACCACGCTCCACCAAGCCAGGCCCAGAGAACCGGTAGTTTAAAAAAAATTGAATCCCACCACTGTGGCAAGGCTTCTACCTGAGAAAATCTGGAGCTTTGGAAATCATGTTCTCGAAGTCTGAAAACCCCAGCTTCCCATCGCCGTCCATGTCCGCTTCTTCGATGACCTTCTCGCACACCAGGCTAACTTCCTCCTCGGTCAGCTCTTCCTTGGTCAACTTGTTCAGAGTTTGCTCCAGGTCGGATTTGCAAATGAAGTTGTCGGTGTTAAAATCTAGGCAGGCAACGACAGGAAAGAAAGGGGTGCTCAGAATGCCTCTTGGCTGCCCTCAACTGGGCTGGGACTACAGCTCCCATACCCTGCACCGTGGTCGATGGGATACGGAGTCACTTTTTTTTTTTTTTTTTTTAGGGCTTCCTATATAGCTGCACAGAAACGAATAGATGGGGTAGAATTTTTCTGCTGGGCCAAATATCCAGTATTTGAGGGGCTGCCCCAAATGAAGAGGGAGTCAAGCTATTCTCCAAAGCCCCTGAAGGCAGAAGAAGAAGCAACGGATGGAAACTCATCAAGGAGAGAAGCAACCTAGAACTAAGGAGGAATTTCCTGACAGGGAAGACAATGAACCAGTGGAAAAGCTTGATTCCAGAAGTTGTGGGTGCTTCAACCCTGGAAGTTTGAACAAACATTTGTCTAAACATTGTACAGGGTCTCTTGCTTATTTATTTATTTTATTTGGCAATTACTTACAAGATAATAGGTATAAGTATAAACATAGTTATGAATACATGGATATATATAAGAAAAATAAAAGAAATAGGACAGGGACGGTAGGCACGTTGGTGTGCTTATTCACGCCCCCTACAGGCCTCTTAGGAAAGGGGTGAGGTCAATAGTAGACAGTCTAAGGTTAAAGTTTTTGGGGTTTGGGGAAGAAACTACAGAGTCAGGTAGAGGATTCCAGACGTTGACCCCTCTGTTGCTGAAGTCGTATTTCCTGCAATCAAGTTTGGTGTGGTTTCCCTTGAGTTTGTATCAATTGTTTGCTCTTGTGTTGTTATGGTTGAAGCTGAAGTATTCATTGACAGGTAGGACATTGCAATGTATGATTTTATATACTATACTTAGATTGGACCGAAGGCGGCGTAATTCAAGGTTTAGTAGGTCTAGAATTTCAAGTCTGGTGGCATAAGGTATTCTACAACGAGTAGAGGAGTGAAATATTCTTGTGAAATATTTCTGGACTTTCTCAACTGTGCTAATATCAGATACGTAATGTGGGTTCCAGACTGATGAGCTGTATTCAAGTATTGGTCTAGCAAATGTTTTGTATGCTCTAGTTATTAGTGTAATATTACCAGAGAAAAAGCTACGTAGGATTAGGTTAACAACTCTTAACGCCTTTTTGGCTATGTAGTTGCAGTGGGCTCTAGCACTTAGGTCATTAGAGATGAGTGCTCTAAGGTCCTTGACAGAGTTTGGGTCATCAACAAGGTCTTGAGTATTCTGCTTGTATTTTATTTTCTGATTTTTTTTTGCCAATATGTAGGACAGAGCATTTATTTGTTGAGATTTGAAGTTGCCATTTGTTTGACCATTCTGATACATAGTCAAGATCTTTTTGTAGGGTAGCAGTATTGTCTGTGGTATTGAACAGCTTTACGTCATCAGCGAAGAGAACGCAATTGCTCTTAATATGATCACAGAGGTCATTTATGTAGAGTATGAAGAGAGTTGGTCCTAGAACACTGCCTTGGGGGACACCACTGTTGACAGGTACAGAATTTGATAGGACTCTCCCAATTTTGACCATTTGTTGTCTGTTTGACAGGAATGCTTCTATCCAGTTATGCAGGTGTCCAGAGATACCATAGGATTTTATTTTTAGGAGTAGTTTGTCGTGTACCACTGAATCAAAAGCTTGAGCCAGAGGTTAGATTAAAAGAACTCCAAGGGTCCCTTCCAACTCGGTTATTCTGTTATTGATTGGTGTTTTCCAAGCTCCCAATAAATTTGATCGGTGGGGGAAAAAAATGCATTGATTTATTTCACGTGGTTTGGACATCTTAAATTTCAACCAGCCCGTCAACCCTTCCGTTCCATTTCTCCTGGTTGGAATCTACCCAACATCTGGAGGTGGTGTGTGTTTCTTCCTCCACTTTCTATCTCTGAAGCTCAATCGTGAATCTACCAAGTGAACAATAGCCTGGTGATTAAAAGGCCAGCGCCCGAACATTGGTTTTATTGTGCTTCGCTCAATAAGCAGAATTACCACCGGTTCTATTTAATTACGAACCGGCAGAATGACATTTAGCAGGCTGCATATGGATGGTAAATCTGTCAAGACGGATTTATGGGGGAAAGGTCTGGCATCTGACAGGCCTTTCCTGCCAATGAAGGAAATAAATCACATCCTTCTTGTTTTTTTCTCCCCCCCTAAAGGCTTTTGGACCTGTAGCCCTCTAAGAACGGTGTGGTGAAAAGCAGATATTAAACATTAAATTGATGTTGAAGGATGGCTTTGCTGAAGGAGTTTGGCGGGAGGGTGAGTTGGTCGTACCCGGTAGCTACCAGAGACAATTAAGACAAAAAGTTTTCCACTTGTTCCATAAAATGCAAAATACTAGAGAGAGGTTCATAGAATCACCACACCTCCAAGAGGAAGACATGCACTGGGGACTGAGAATTTTTATCTGCTTATCATAAGGATGCTAGACTGAGTCTGGGGGATTCTGAGAGTTGAAGTCCATTCCTCTTGGAGTTGACCAAGTTTAAAGACCCCCTAACCTGCTATTTATTCCACTTCTTGGCATAAATCTTTAAAAGATTTTAAAGATCTTGCTGAGAATTAGCTGATTCTCATAAGGATACTGGGCCGTGTTTTAACCCAGAGTTTCCAACCTTGGCAACTTTAAAAAAGGTGGACTTCAACTCCCAGAATTCCCCAGCCA